TTGAACTAATAAAAAAATATTTATTGTTAAATTAAATATTGTAAAAAGTGAATCAATAATAATAAATATTTTACCTCATTTAAAAATTCATCACAAATATTTTGTGAATTATGTAACTTTTTTAATGCAACAATCATATCTTCACAAGATCTTTTATTATGAACCATATTTACATATTTTTTACCATTTATCCATGTAGCTTTGTATACATTTGAAAAACCACCTTCACCTATCTTTTCAATGTCTTTTAATTTGTCATAAGGAATCCATTCAAGATAATCAGCATTATTATATCTTGTTGCTTCAAGTTGTGTACTTTTTATTAATTCATCAATGGTTTTGTTGTCACTGCTCCATCCTTGAGTTAATAATTGTAAATCACAAGATTGACACCATGAATTATCAGTGTTGTATCTACAACAAGTTGGACATTCACCATATTTTTTCCCCCGTTTGTATGAATATTCATCATTTGATAATAATATTTCTATTTGCAGAAATGATAAATCCATTTGATTAGAATCTATAAAAATAATAATTATTAGGTATAATAATATTTCTATTTGCAGAAATGATAAATCCATTTGATTAGAATCTATAAAAATAATAATTATTAGGTATATTAATATTGATATTGAACTTAAAATTAATCAATAATCAATAACTAATTAACAATAATCACCATTATTATTTCCAATGATTGTAACTTTGTTGGAGTTGACAGGATGAGGAAGACATATAAAATTTAATATTCTGCTAGTATAAATAGCATTTGGATGAACAGTTGCTGTGATTGTTGAAGGATCATATTCAATCATATTCATTTCTTCAAATATTTTTCCAGTTGGATTTGCTTCATGGAAATAATAATCAATAAATTTTTTAATTTCATCAGCAGTTGGACGTTTGTTTGGATCAGCATCCATACATTTGTAGGCTAATTCAATATAAAGTCTTGGTGTGTTTATTGAGAAGCCGGGTCTTACTCCTTCACATATTTTGAATGCAAGTTCTCTATCATGTGAAACATTACTAAAAGGTTGTTGACCTGTTGAGATTACTGACATCAATATTCCAAAACTATATATGTCTGATTCAAATGTATAGGGTTTACCATTTAATATCTCTGGTGCTAAGTATGGTAATACTCCATATATATTGTTACTTGATGATGTTTGATCAGCTGGAATGGATAATCCTAAGTCTGCAATAAATGAAGAACCACCATCTTGAAGAATGTTACCAGTGTGAAGATCATGATGAATGAATTTTTGTTCATGAATCTTTTTTAAACCTTCAATAATATCATTAAGAATTTCAATTTTTTTCTTCCATTTTAAAATTTTAAATTCTTTTGTTAAATAATTTAGAAGATTTCCTTCTTCCATATATCTCATTACAAATATGTGATCTTTTGTGACTGGATCTTGTGTTAATCCATAAATCCTAATTATCAAATCAGCAAATTGATGATCAAATTGAACATAATTTTTGAGCTAATAAAAATATTTAATTTAACAATTATAGTTAAATATTTATATTTTAATAAAAAAATAAATAAATGTAATATTTTACCTCATTTAAAAATTTATCAGAGATATTTTGTGAATTATGTAATTTTTTTAATACAACAATCATATCTTCACAACATCTTTCATTGCTATTATGATTTACACATTTTTTACCATTTATCCATGTAGCTTTGTATACAGTTGCAAAACCACCCTCACCTATCTTTTCAATATCTTTTAATTTGTCATAAGAAATCCGTTCAAGATAAGGATTAGCATTATTAAGTTGTGTACTTTTTATTAATTCATCGATGGTTGTGTTACCATGGATCCATTTGTTTAGAATTTTTTTTGTTTCATATAAAATTTTTGCCATGGAAATTCTAAATAATAATAAATTTGAATTGTGAAAATATCCCATGAAATTGTTTGTCAATGAAATTTATTGTTACACGAATGGAAAATATCACGCGGAAATAGTTTGACAACGAAAGAAATATAATTAATAATAGTTAAAAAGCATTTTTTAACCATTAAATTAGTAGCAACTAACACTATTATAAGAAACATCATGTCTCTTAAAATTGCTTGATATTCAATTGGCTGTTAGTATAAAAGATCAAACAATTAATTTAAACCAGTTTTTGAATTTCAACCATTTAAAGACTGGACTACTGCTTTATCTAAAGAAATTCTTGCAACAGAAAAACGAGAATTAAAAGTTAATACAAAATGTTGATTATTTGGAAAAAATATAGATTTTGTTAAATTCAAGGCCAATACCAATGAAAATAATGGTAAATACTGACAACGATCTTATACAAGAGACAGGTATATTTTTATTAGCAACTCATAAAGGAAGTTATGATCTTGGTGAAAATACGTAATATTCATGCAAAATAATTCTAATAAATTAAATTTGAGAGTGTAATATGTAAGGATGAAAGAATTAGAAAATTAGCATTTAAAGATTAATAGATTGATTAGATCTTCTTGGTAAAGAAACTGGTTCACCATGGGAATTAACAATTGATGATAATTTTTCATTTTGGGTTGCTTCTTCTAATGTTATGTAATTATAAGATCAGATGACATCATTATTTCTCAAAGTGAGTAATATTTATTATATTGGTTAAATTTAAACTTTACAAAATGTGAAGATTAGGTTGAAGTTTAATAAATTCTTTAAATTCTTAACATTGTTAATCAATCTATTTATTGTTCAAATGATTTTAAGTGTTACAACACTTTGAGAGGACCTATTTATTTTTGATATTTTATTTAGTGTAAATATGTATATACTGTATATACATTTGATAATTTCTTGTATATGTTATTTGTATCAGGATCAATGTTTCTAATATTTTTATTATACAAAGCAATCTAGTAAAATAGATTGTACTTCCTTCATTGATTACCAGAATCTCATAATCAAAGTGAAATTAATTTATTTATTTGGGTGGAGCTTGCTGGAATATTTTCCATAATCCTTATCATTTAAATTTTTATATTGCTCGAAAACAAAAAAGCCTTTATAAAGTAATAATAACGAAAGGAATGGCTTATCAAGAAAGTCAAGCATCGCCACCACAAATATATCAAAATGCGTATACACCAGAGTATTGAATTATCAGCAAACACCTCAAATGCAAGTAGATTCTCTATCAAGAGAATGGAGATTTGTGCTATTTGATTGTTTTACTGACAAGAGATTATGTGAACAAATGTATTTTTAATTAAAAATCGTTATTAGTTTTAAACGGTTTTTATTCTTGTTTCTGCCCGTGTGTCAATTTTGTAAGTTAATAATTAAGATTTCCTATAAGTAAAAGATACTTACCATTCATTATGTACACATCCATTATTAGGGTGGCAGAAGAGCTAAACTCGGTGCTAATGATAGTCGACGTATTGTTATGACTATTATATCATTGTAAATAAAAATTCCTGGATCTAATGCTCAGAATCAGAAAATTTCCGATCCTATTTCAGTTTTTAAAATTTTAATCTGAATTTTCGGGTTGTTGGTCCGAAAAACCCGAAAACTTTTTGGATTGTACCAATTATATTGTACTACCACCTATCATAATTTTATACAACTGACGCAAGATGCAAGACTCAATTCATGGCGCAAGCATGATTTATGATAATTTCTTAGCCAACAAAACCTTTCAAGCTGTGAAAACATTGATGCTACACTCAAAATCATGTAATAAATAAAAAGTTTAGTTTTAAATTAATTCATACACGCATCGAATTGCATCTTGCATCTGAATTACGTCTTATATTATGAATTGCCTTTGCGTCATGCATAACACCAACATGTACGTATGATAATTAATATACATTAATCGTTCGCTTTTTATTGGAAGTCTAAACTTAACGCCCATTATGTTAATGGTTACTAGAATTAAAAACTGATTTCGCCCAACACCCTTAAATCAGTAATTTTTATAAATATAGTATCCAACAAAAGTTTCTTTTACACCTGTTAATGAACATTATGAAACAAATTAAGTTGCTTTACTCAGTCGTAAGAAAGTTGAAAGAGAAATTGATTCTAAAAAAAAAAAAAAACAAAATAAAAGTAAAAATCGAATCATCAAGATCAAGATATTATGTTGAGCTACACTTGATACTTCAGGGTTGTATAACAGTTTACGATGTTTGGAGAAAATGGCTTATCTATTTATTTATAAAATTTATACACACACTTTGACCCTTGACTCTTAATTCTATATACGTAGAATAACAAAAAAATTTGGTATTGTTTTGAAAGCATTTTTAGAATATTTGAAGTTTATTAATCTGTTGATAAAATAAAATCAACGCACTTTCATCAAAATGGTCAAATACATTTTAAATGGAGAATAAAATAATTGGCAATCAAGAAATTCCTTGCAAGTGATAGTCCAGTTGATATTTGGTATATTTCATTTTGATATTTTTATGTCGTTCTTATTCAAATAATCAAGTGATTTGTTTTTCTGTATATGAAATTGGGCGTTGAATATTTTCCTTTTGAATGACATAATATCTAATAAGGTTTCGTTCAATATTAGTATTTCTTTGTGATTTCGTTAAACCTCTCTAAATATTTATATTGCATCAACTATACGAATTAAATAAAGGTTGATTTTATCAGTCAAAATCAGATAGTATATCTTTGGATCCTTATCAGTGTTTTGGCCACCAAACTATTTTGAAGAGGCAAAACTCAAAACTAAAATCAAAAGAAAGTTATTCATAAGTCAAAACTAAATCGAAAGTTCTAGTTTCGACTTATGGCAAAACTTTTTGACTTTTGCACAGTCGCGAAACTCTACAGTTTTGGAAACCAATACTAATCTTTGTTATGAATCATTATAGAAGCAATTCAGAAATGGATTAAATAAAGATATGGAAGATGATAATTATGATATATAAAGTGAAGAAAAAGATGCTCATCTTAATAATGATATCATTAAAGCTCCGAGGTACTGATTTGATTCGAATTTAATTAAATGAGAATTCTTAAATTTGTTTTGACAAATTAGAATCAAACCCACATTCGGGTTTTAAAAGTTACTTCACATATAAAAGCACATAAAATTCATCGGGGTGTGAGTTTAAATGCAATTTTCTTATGTGTTCAATAGATTCGTTGAAACGGGGCTTGCTTATTCTAGTCGTAAGCAAGTATTTATCAATTTGTCAATTTTAAATTTTTAAGTTTAAAAATCCGATCTTATTAGAATCGAATCCAGTGCTTTTTTGAATATGGATCGCTTTAAAATCTGACATGATTCGAATTGTTCGAGCCTAATTAAAACATATAAAAAAATGGCTAGGAAACTAATTGATGAGTGTAAATAGCTAGGTTGAGCGATACAATGAAGTTATTAGTATTATATGTAGGTATGTTAATCGATTGATTTTTCACAATCGATTATAAACTGATTAGATTGGCGAATTGAAACAACCGATTGTAATCGTTTTTTATATTGCGAGTATAAATTTAAAAAAATGAATGTAATAATAATAAACCGTTTGAAAAAATTATTCTATAAATTATGTAAATTGTTTAATGCAACAATCTTATCTTTGCAACATCTTTTGTAATTATTATAATTTTCACCATTTATCCAAGTAGTTTTGTATATAGTTGCAAAACCACCTTTGCCTATCTTTTTAATTCATCATAAGAAAATCCATTGAAAATATATAGAATTATAATATATATTAGCTTTATGTACTTTTTATTAATTCATCAATAGCTTCACTTCATTATAATTGTGGATCACATGATTTACATCAATTACAAATTGGACATTCGCAATGTCTTTTTCTTCTTTTGTTTGAATATTCATCATTATCATTTGCGTTAATAGAAATATTATTGTGGTGCCCGTCTTCATTTAAACTTCCAAATTCAAAAGATTTTTAGGGAAGGTGATTTTTGGGGGACAAAATAAAAAATTTGTTTAAAAAATGGAAAAAGCTAACAATAATGTCATAAGTAATAAATCAAAGGAACCACCAAAACCAATCTATATATTTCGTAAACATGAAGAACAAATTAATTTCTTGAGATTTTTTAATGAAAATAAAAATTTTTTTTCTGGGTAAAAAATAAAATAAATTGATAAATATTAAATATTAATAATGAAGATAATTTTGTTTATTTATATGTTATATTGTGTTAGATAGAGATGAAAATGGTGAACTTATTTTATGGAACTTTAAAATTAAAAGACCAATCATGAAATTCAATGCACATGATCAAGGTATTTTGAAATTTGATATATTTGAATCTTTTAATGATAATGATGATAATGATGATAAAAGTGATGAAAAAAAAATTATATTAATCAGGTAAGAAAAATATTTTTAGCATAAAAAATATATTAAATAAAATCAAATGCCAACATATTTATGCGTAATGTGTATATGTATTAGCCATGGAAGAGATGATTATTTAAAAATCTGGAAACTTGATAAACTTAAACTTGATCAATTGAATGAAGAGTCGACCACCTTTACTAGTAGTGGTAGTGTTGGTGTTGAAAATGTTGAGAATTTAATAAAACTTGATAAAAAAATTATAATAAACTTTAGAAATTTTTGTAAATTTGGTGCATGTGAAAAAGGTATGTTATGTTCACTAGATTTAGATTTATTATATAAATCTATAATTAATATATATTCAAACTGTATATTTATTTATTAATGATTATTTATTCTAAAAAAGTCAGAAATTCTAAAGATTTTTTGATAGCTGTGCCAAGCAACATATCAACTAATGATGTAAAAATTAAAAACATCTGTTCTGACTATTTATTTCTCTTTCACATTTCAAAATTTGATCAAGTTTGTTAATTATTAATTAATTATATAGATTGATTTAATATTTTCAGCAAATCCAAAAAAAATCTTGAATTCAACCAAACTTGATGGAAACTCAGGTTTTATTTCCATTTTTTTTTTTTCTTCAATTAATTTTTATATTTTTATTTTAAAAATATATTTATATTTATGTTATTTCTAGGACGGTGCATGGCATTGAAATTATTTCATAATCCTAATGACGAAACACCACATGATTACTTTATGTTATTAATTTATGATAATGGATATGTTAAATTATGGACAATTAATAATTCTATTGATGATGATAAAAAATCGGAAAGAAAGGATAATGAATGTGAATGCAAAGTAGTTCAAAATTGGTGTAAAAAAGAACATAAAGGACATGGTATTATAAGTCTGCCTTTTTTAATGTGTGTTTTTATGTGCAGTTATAATGATGGATTGACTTTATACTAATTATTATAATGCAATGTAATGTAATAGGTATGGCAATTGATGTTTCATTAGATAGAAAATTTGCAATCTCAACAGCTAGTGACAACAAAATTGTTAAATATACTTTTACTGAGGTTTGAATTGAATTTTTATCCCTAAAAATAAACAATTCTAATTTATTCTTTATTCTTTTATAATCAATTAATTAATTTAACTAAATAATAATAATATCTAAAGTCCTTAGCAAATGAACCAATAGTTGATAGTGTATTGTTAAAATATTCGGGAATCTCTGATGTAAGAATACGTTCTGATGGTAAAATTTTTGCCACTGCTGGTTGGGATTCAAAGTAAGTAATTATTGATATTCACCATTATCATTATTATTATTATCACTATTATTAAATTTATTATTATTATTAATTTAAAAATAAAATGAAGAATACGGGTCTTTTCTTCTAAATCTTTAAAACCACTAGCAATACTATCATATCATCGTGATAGTGTTTACACTATAGACTTCACAAAAATCATCACCTTTGTCACTACAAAAAAGGTTGATCAAAATAATAATAATTACTTAATTGGTGGTGGAAAAGATCAAAGAATTAGTCTATGGGAAATTTATTAAATATGCATGTATTTTTTATTTGCAAAAATTATATTAATTTTTAATAAAATAGATTTTATAATTCTAATTTTTAACTCACTAAACATCTTTTGAACAGACTTTGCAATTTCTTTAATTGGACCATGTGGATGACAATTAGTTGCTGAGTAGAAATCTATTATGGCAATGGACTTTTTTCAGATCTGCTTTGTAATAGCTATTATTATCAATAATTGATTGTCAAGATTGGATTGCTCAGCACATTTCATTTATCTTCTTTTCTATAACTTGTATTAGTACCCTAATTTAAATTAATAACTGATTCTAATATTCTTGCCCAATTTAATTTGTTGGTCCATTCCCTAATATCAATTCAAATAATTTAATTGATTTTAAAGAACATTTGCAAAAAACTAATGAAATAAAATGAAATCACTCACAAGATTAGTATTAGTATTTAAAGCATTTTATTTAATTAGGTTTTCTCTCTGTGTGATTTTTTTACATCACATTTCCTTCTTCACTTGTTGTTTATTAACAGTTTCTTTTCCTTTGCTGGCTCTTCATTTATCCCGGAAATCCTTAGATTTATTTATCTTGCAAATTTCTTTGCTTTTTCCCTTTACACTTTCAATTTTATTTCGCAAATTGCTAGCAGTTTCTATACATTTATCTTTTACACCTTTGACAACTTCTTTAGCCTTATCAATTAAACTCCTAGTTTATTTCTTTGCATTTCAAAGTAATTCCTGTGCCTTTGTTTTTACACCTTTAGCAGCTCCCTTAATTTTAACTGCTAAATTTCCAATAGCCCCCTTTCCTTAGTCTTTTGTCTTTCACATCTTCAGTAATTTCTTGATTTTTGACTCCTTCGATAGTTTTTTTGCCGTTGAAAACCTTTCTGCCTTTATTGAAGGCTATTCTTTTACTTTTCCTTGATAATCGCAAGCATCAATGTTGCACAGAAAAGAAAACGGGCGCGCTTCTATGACCCCCAAACAATATACAATTTGTGGCAGAATATTTACATTTCCTTTTTTCTTATTATTACTGTATATTCAATTTTAAATAAAGTCATTAAAGGAAAAAAATAAAATTAAAGTCCTCAAAATAAATAATATTTGAATCTCTTAACCCACAATTTTTATTTTTCAAAATATGAAAAGCATTCAGGATATTTATACTGAAATTTTATTTCCAAGATGAAAACTTGTAAATCACCTTTATTCTAAAATTGAGATTTTTTATTCCAAAATGAACGGTTTTTATAAACAAATCCTTATTACTTTGATTACCATCTTCGTCGTCAATTTCACTATCACCATATTTCGTTTTCATTTTTTCATTATTGTAATAATTGTTTGGCTATTCAAAATTAAGAAGTAAAAGTTATTATATCTATATTAATCCTCATCTGAAAAATATTAATCAGATCTCCACGCCCCAAATGATGCGATTCTATGGGTGGTTTGATTTTTATTGTTGCTGATAATGGCGATAAAATCGATCAAATTAAAATTAAAAAAAAAGAATCGGGGAATATGGGTCCTTGATAGAATGTAATTATTCAATGAACGAGCAGAAATTATTATCAGAATGGAAACTTGTCTTGATCTTTTTCGTCTTCCTCCCCTTTCGGCAGAGTAAGTGAAAAACTGAGGCGTAAAATAAATGTTTTCCAAGACGGAAAATGATGGTATAATATATTGGCGCCATTCACCGTCTACTTCATCTAGATCCAACCAAAAAAATTTATCTTGAAATGTAAAATCGTATGTTAAACATATTCATGGTTTTACAAAAATCGATCTCTAGTTGTGTCGTTACGGTGAACCCTATCAATTTGTTTTTAAATAAACTGTTACTCGTTACTGTTATAAGATCTTGTTGATCAAAATAATTTTTATCAATATATGGAAAGGAAAATTGTCACATAATGATGGCAAAAAACATTGATAAAATCTATATTTTAACAAAATTTAATAAATTCTTTACTTCAAAAGATTTTGGCTTACAAGTAACGACGAAATTACCAAAATTTTATTTTAACAATGGAAGTATTATAAATGTTAATAATAATAATGTTAATTTAATACGGTTTTTCAAAAGTAAGATCTTTTTAAAATACATTAGAATTAATTGATCAATTGATTGATCAATTTTTTTTCTTTTCATCAATAACAATAACTAGCAACATCCCGTTTCAATTCAACAATTGAAGTTACAAATGCACAAGAACAAGTCCCAATACCATCATCTACATCATCATTTTCACCCAATGAGATTGAGTTGGTTAATTATGATCCACTGATGGAGTTAACAAAAAGTAAAAATAATATACCAAAATTGAATCAAATTTTTCAAGGCATGAAATCCAAAAATATTAAACCTGATATTGCAGCCTATAATATTTTCCTAGAAGCTTATTCAAAATACTCAGATTCAGTTGAATCCACAAAAGTTTTACGAGATATGCTAGAAGGTGGTGTTAAACCTAATTTAGAAACAATTAATATCATATTAAAGGTAAACAAATAAATATTATTATTAAAATACAAAGATCAGAAAAAATTCACTTTCTGTGGGTAATGATGTTTTTGAATTGGATGCTTTTAATTAAGATTTCATTCTCACATTAATTATCTTTTTTTTTTCCAAAAAAAAAAAAAGACATGTGCAAAAAAAAGTTTTATCTTACAACAAGATCCAATTCTTCGAGAGTTTGCTTTTGACTTAATAAGTCAATTTCAACTTGAACCAAATGTAACTACATATGAATATTATATTGATGCAATGATAGAAAATAATGAATTTGAACGTGCACTAGATTTCTTTATAACAATCAAAGGCCAAAATTTTAAACCATCAGTTCAACTTTATCAAAAGATCATTAAAGGTTTTATAGGTTCTAATGACGATGTTATAGTGCTTGAATTAATGAAATTATCCGAAGAAGATGGGTATAAATTGTTTGCTAATATGTATTTGGACATTCTAAGAATTTGTGCTTATCAATATAATGTAAGTTTTATTTTATTGAATTATATAAAAATGATAAAAAAAATTATTATTTTCATTTAATTGATTTTTGTGTTTAGGTGGAAGGTGCAATCAAGTGTTGGGATATTGTTACTAAAGATGGAGTCGGGTTGGATGAGGGTTTATGCATAAATTTGTTAAATTTAGCCTCAGTGTCTGGCGAAACAAAATTAGCAACCAAGGTGATTAAACATTTAATGACTGCTCATAAATTATTTGATTTAGAATCATACCATTTAGAACCATTCCTTGAAACATTTGTTACTAAAGGCGATTTGAAAAAAGCTTTTGATATATTAAACATTATAAGATCTTCAAAATATATACCTACTATGAAAACAATTTCATCAATTGTTAAATACATAGAGAAAAGTATTGATTTGATTGACATGGCTTATTGTACATTAGAAGAATTACACAAAGAAGGTAAAAAGGTTGATATATTGGCATTTAATGCAATTATCATTGCTTGCAAGAGAATTAACAATAAGCCAAATAGTGCTGATTTGAAAAGAGCTGTCGAAACTTTTAAATCAATTGAGAAATTTGGCATAAAACCTGATTTGGACACATTCAATGCTTTAATAAATGTGTCTGTCTACTCTCGCCATAAGGAATTAGGCGAAGAATTTTTCAAGGAGCTAAAGGAAGCTTATGGTCTTAAACCAAACATTGACACTTATAGGCGTATGATATTTTTGTGTTTGAATCAACCAAATTATGAGGATGCCTTTAAATATTTAGAAGAAATGAAATCAAAAAATATATTGCCAAGCATTGAAATCTATGAAAGAATTATTAGAAAATGTGTTATGAATAATGATGCAAGAGCTAAAATAGCTTTGGAAGAAATGAAAAATTTGGGTTATAGACCTACAATGGATATTATTGATTCTGTAAAATTTGGAGGTTTGATGAATAGAAATTCTAAAAACTTACTAATCACTACTCCAAAAGATAATAATAATCTCCAACAGCAAAGATATCCAAAACCATCACAATCACAATCGCAATCACAATCACAATCACAATCACAATCACAATCACAATCACAATCACCATCGCCACCACCATCACAACAACGTGATAATGATCAACAACTAATTAATCAGGATAATTTATTGAAAATGCTAAGTGAAGCATCATTCAATCAAAATAGAGGAAGTGAACCAACTATAAAAGATGAACATATTGCTCAATTAGATGCTTTCTTTGAAAAAATTCTTAACCAAAAAGGCTAAAATATTCATATATTTTTATTTATTATTTATTATTTAATTAACACATTTGGCACATTTGACAATTTGAACATGTTTATCTATTTCTTCTTCCTTCTCACAGGAATGCTTAAATATGAATAAAACACATTGAGGATTTCTTATTTATATAATATAATAATTATAATAATTTGAGTTTATTCATTTTTGTATTTTCTTCACTATGCACACATACATACATACACACATACATGATTTCCTTTTAATTCTCATGTTAGATATTTAAAATGTCTAGTATTTAAATTAATCATTAATATATATAAAATAAATGAGAAAATTGATTAATCAAAAAGAAATATGCATGGCCTTTTATTATCATTTGTTTACTCAATTATAATAATTATTGATTGATTTTCCATCTGTCATCATCATCTAATTCTTATACACTTAGTGATTGATCAATTTTAAGGAAAAAAATTTTTTT